ATATCCACAACATGTTATTATAGGCTTAAAGCCAGAAATTTGAAAGGTGTGATCTACAAAACAGGTTGGATTGTCTAAATTTATTGAGAAGTGAACTTGATACATGTATGGCTCTTGGGTACATAAAAAGGGTACAGAGTTCATGAAAATGACCACAAGTGCTCCAGTGTCCTGTACAAGGCACATGAGTCATAAACGCCATCACTATTATGTACATGTATAAATGCCATTATGCACAGGCCAATTTCTTTTTTTGTTCCCCAGCCTTTTGAAGAAAGTAGGGGACTATTAAAATGGGTTTGCCGTCTGTCTGTCCGTCCCTCCGTCCGTCACACATTTTGGGACACAATAACTGTCTTTCTAATTGAGCTAGAATGTTCAAACTTGGTGTAGGTGTTTATTAGGCCAATGCCTTGCTGGAGTTCGAAAATGAGCATTTTCTGCTTAGGTTAAGCAGAGATAAGCAATTTGATAGGTTGATGCTTTGGGACACAATAACTTTAGTTCTAATTAGGTTTATAGTTTCAGTACATCAATACCTTGACTAAGTTCGATAATGATCTTTTTCTGCTCAGGGTAAGCAGAGCGATACACAATTAGATTGGTCAAGACTTTGGAACATAACAACTCTGCTTTTAATTGAAGTAGAATGGTTAAACTTGATGTAGATGTTCATTATGTCTTAAATGAGTTCAATGATTTACATTTCGAGCTAAAGCTAAGCAGAACTAATTTATATATAATTTCATTGGTCGATGCTTTGAGAGAAGATAATCTTGATTCTATCTGGTAGAGAGGGATGAAACTTAGTGTACAGTTTGATTGGCCGATACTTTTGAAAAAAATAAATGTGCGATTAATTAATATGTGTCATCTAGCTATTTATTTTGGGATTTCGGCGGGGGACATCAGTCTCACTGTTGGCTTGTTAACTTTCTTATCAGGCAGTGAATGATAATCACTCTCGAATTTCAGTTCGTAACTACTGTTTAATCAGTGTGCTTGATGTGGAACAAACAACTCTTTTTAAACAAAAATGTATGTTCAGAAAAGCCTAGTCAGAAAATAAATGTATGTTTGGAATAGTCTTTTTATCATGTGAGTTTCATCTCTATACACTTTTGTCATGCCAAAGTACAATCAAGATATCAAGATAGATCGTAGGCAAGGAAATGATTGGTTGTTATTGGTATCTGAATTTAGAGGAAAGACCTATAAATCTCATCAAATTTTTGCCAAGTTGACTGTGAAATCTTGTGATGGTGAATCCTAACTTTATTAAAACTTATGGGATTTAGAATCATGCTAAATTTCAAAATAATGGGATCATAAATTTCAAATGCATTTTACATAGTAGATTTTTTTTAAAATTTGCTCTGTGAGAATTGTTGACAATGATTTTAGATTTAGCACAGATGACTTTACCTCTGGTGGGCATATAGAGACCTGACAAGTTACTGCCTTTGTTGACTTTTAAGCTTGTGAACATCGATAAAGGACAAAGTTATCTTATAAATTTTTAAAAACTTGATTGAATCATTAAAGGGACTATCCCGAATTGAACAGAGTCTCAAAAATAAAAATCTGAGTACATATGTTATTTCAGCGCCAAAATATAAAGGAATGGTGTAATTACCTTGTCTCAAAGTTTCAGCTCAAAATATTAAGTCGTTTGGGCGTGAACGTCAAAACTGCTTATCCGAACACGTAACCCTTTTAAGATTTCGGGTCAATTTTTTTGTTGGATGACCTGATAATTGATTCCCGTTCCTTTAGAGGTCTATACAATGAATGACCCATGTGCTGTACTTGATAACGAAAGGTAAATTTCACCTACACATAATTTTTATAAAATTAAAGCCTGGTTTTATCCAGACACCGCATAATACAGCTTGAAAATATATCACAGATATTGAGTTAGTTGCCCGACCCTAAGGTAGAGGATTTTAAGGGATTTTAACACAAAATTAAGAAGTTTTATTCTCCAAAATATTAAGTTGTGCACAAAAGTCCCTATTGAAATTCTATCGTAAATTAGGAAGTTTTCATCTCCTTTTACAGTCGAAGTTATGAAAAGTTTGTAAATATGATAAAGGAAAAAGCTGTTGATGAAAATTTAAAAACTTAAGAGGTCTATCAAAATGGTAGTCATATTAGTGGGGCTGACAAACGCCTGTCTGTGTTTTTTTTGTGGAGTTATCTTCTTGAGGACACTATTTCACTTGATTTTGTTGTATGTCAAGTCAAAGAATCTGTAGGCAGTGATATCTTTTTTGATTCTAGACCAAAAATTCGACAAAAAATTTCATGCAAAAGGGGGAAGAGAAAAAACTGCTATAAATAGACTGGATCAGACACTGTATAGTACGGAAGCATAATAGGGCCACATATTTTTTTTATTATTCTATTTTCAATTTTTCAAGTTACTAACTTGAATTTTCAAGTTACTAACTTGAATTTTCAAGTTACTAACTTGAATTTTCAAGATACTAACTTGAATTTTCAAGATACTAACATGAATTTTCAAGATACTAACATGAATTTTCAAGATACTAACTTGAATTTTCAAGATACTAACTTGAATTTTCAAGATACTAACTTGAATTTTCAAGTAACTGGTTCAAAAAAGGCCTTATTCTAAGTTCTAAATGTGTTAGTGTTCTGCCTTTAGTTTAAATCATCTCATTAAATTCTATTTTACGAGTCTAACAGTTTTGAGGGTGGTCGGGTGGTCGGTCTGTCATCAATGGGTTCGAGGTTTGAATCCTGTTCTCGCCTACCTCAATGACAAGGTGCGGGAGTAGCCTATTCAATCACGCAGGTTTCCTCCGGGTACTCCGGTTTCCCCCTGCAGCGAATTTACTCCCCGCACATTAGGCAAATCATCTCCGATAGCACATAGATTGGCGCAAATTGACCAGGTTATTACGATGTCGATGTGCCATAAAACACCATTCATTCATTCATTCATTCATTCATTTTAACAGTTTTGAGCCTTATAGAAAACCTTTTTGAAGTCCAAAAAACAAAATTAAATGTGGTGCATAATGACGAATCAAACGTCCCAGTTCTAAAAATAGTCTTTATTGACGTAATACACGACATCCCCCCCACCCACCCCACCTGGGTATCTCCCCAGCCGGACATCTCCCCCCGGATACCCTCCCCCCCTTTTAGGACTTTTACCCCCAGGACATTTCCTCCTGAAAACATCTTCCCTCCTAGGACATCTACCACCAGACTTTTACTCACCGAACATTTGGCCCCCCCCGGACATCTGCCCCCCCCCCCCCCCCCCCCGGGACATCTACCCCCCCTAAGGACATCTACCCCCAGAGTTTCCCCCCCCCCCCCCCGACATTAATCCTCTGGAACATCTGCCCCCTAGGACATCTCTGCCATCCCCTCACACCCTTTAGAACCCTGGACGTTGCGAGGTAATTCAAGAAACAATGTAAAATAAATATAAATTTTTTACAGTGCATTATTTTACAGGTCAATAGTACAGAGTTAGATAGCAGAATGTGTCCATCGCCTCATTCCTAGCGTGTCCTAGAAGGCGACTCTTGGGGAGAGGGTCGGGTGGCCGATAGGCTACGCCTTGGTCTGCCATCAATGGTGTCGAGGGTTCGAGTCCCATTCTCTGCTATCTTAGTGACAAGGTGTGGGAACAGCCTATCCGATCACTTAGGGGTACTCCCAAAACATAAGCAGATTATTGGCGATAACACGTAGATTGACATGATTTACGGTGTCTACGTGCTATAAACAACATTCACTCATTCATTTATTTAGGTCAATACTGCCAGTTTATGAAGAGGAGACATGTTTTTTTTATCAGAGCTTAGTATAAACGCAATACTCTTCCCCCCCTCTGTTAATTCTACGGAAGCGTAATAGGGCCATTAATTTATTCTTTTCTAAATTTTAAAGCCTGTAAGTCAATAACTTGAAAATTCCGGGTAATAAAAGGACATACAAGAAAGATAATACGCCCACACAGCAGCCTTGACACAAATATAGGCAACCAGAAATGTAACAGATATGTAACGGATAAAAGTAGGCCTAACTAGTAACAAGTTAGTATCTTGAAAATTCAAGTTAGTATCTTGAAAATTCAAGTTAGTATCTTGAAAATTCAAGTTAGTATCTTGAAAATTCAAGTTAGTAACTCTCAAAACTGTTAGACTCGTAAAATAGAATTTAATGAGATGATTTAAACTAAAGGCAGAACACTAATACATTTAGAACTGAGAATAAGGCCTTTTTTGAACCAGTTACTTGAAAATTCAAGTTAGTATCTTGAAAATTCAAGTTAGTAACTTGAAAATTCAAGTTAGTAACTATCTTGAAAATTCAAGTTAGTATCTTGAAAATTCAAGTTAGTATCTTGAAAATTCAAGTTAGTATCTTGAAAAATTGAAAATAGAATAATAAAAAAAAATATGTGGCCCGTATTACGCTTCCGTAGTATAGACCTATAGAAACAGTAATATTTGTAAGGTATTTATTCAATGCAGTGTAGATAATTTATTAATATAATATGTGTTTCTTTTCATCTGTAATATTTTTGATCTGATGCATTTATTTGAAAGTATTACACCATTAATTTGTTAAGCCATTGTTTATTGTTAAATTTGTTACAAATTAAATTATACTATAATGACAGTGATTAAAGATGTCTCAATAAACGGTTGTAAATTGTTAAACGGTTGAAACCAATCATTATCCATTATGAAAATGTGAATAGTTTTCTTATTCATATTTGGCTATTTACGCCACATGTTTTACAATAAAATATGTGGAAAAGAAAAGTTCCAAATTCGTGTTTCAGATCAAAAATGTGTGTTTTTGCAGTATTCATACAATATGGTGAATTTGGCCAATATTCACACAACTAGAAATGAATCTAGCCATGACTGTATCTTATTTTATGATTTTATTAATGAACTCGATTATTATGTAGCTATAATTATCATATAATAATTTGTCCTTTTCAGGAGAAAGTTCGAAGAAAGAATATTTGAAATATGAAAAGTTGATATTGTACAGATACCATGATTAACATACTTTTAATTCTTCTTGTCATATACTCTAGTAGAGGAGAAGAATATAAATTCCAGGATTATGTGAACCCAAACCAGGTGACTGTTGATCGTAATACAGGTGATGTTTATGTTTCAGGTGTTAATTATTTATTTCACTTCTCTTCAAACTTAACGATCAAAAATTCACTACAGATTGGCCCTTATCCCTCCTCATTTCCGTGTACTTCAAAACTAGAAAGAAATTCTACTGGCAGTGATAACCAAATACATATTTTAGAGATAAATCATGTTGCTCGGAAACTTTTAGTGTGTGGTTCTGTTTGTGATGGTTTGTGTTCCTACCATGATTTAAACAATATTTCAACATGGCAGTGGATATCACAAGGAAAAAATAATGAAAGTTCTTTTGGTGGAAAAGGTCCTGTGTTAGTGTTGTTTTTAGCAGAAGAAACAGAAGAATTTATAGTTGCTATTTCCCAACCCAGTCCAAATAATATGATAACATTCAGAAAGTTTGTGGATAATGAAAACAGAATCAAGTATATTGGTCACCATGGATTAAATGTTTTTTCAAAATATCGTAAAGAACTGATAGTAAGGTTCATCAAAGTTTTCAAAAGTGACAAGTTTATTTATTTTTTAACTGTTAAAATGAAAAGTGCGACAAAATTTGAAGGTTTTGAGACCACCATATTTCGGATTTGTTTGAATAATGGTACTAAATCTGTGTATCCATTTTTAGAAATTCCTATGAATTGTGGAAAAGAATATACCATTGCAACTTCAGCCGCAGTTGGACATTTTACTAACAAAAATGTTAAGGAATCAGCACTGATTATTGCGTTCAGTAAAGCATCCAATGACACATCAGATAAACCTGATCCATGGTCTGGTACAAGGGTTTGTTCATTTAGATTGCAACATATTGATAAAGAATTTAATTTTATTAAGACTAATTGTAATGAAGAGATCGCATCTGTTCCAGAGTGGATGTTTGGACCGTTTGAACAGTGTAAAAATTCATCAGGAGATAAGGTAAGCATTTATAGATATGGTCGTGGAAGAAGAGGGTATTGAGATTTGATATGAATTACTGACTTGTACATCATTCAACATTGTTGTAGGATTTCCAAGATGTATCTATTACTGAAGATTCTCACATCTACTTAATACTCTCAGCTTTAATTACTTACCCAAATTGTGTTTTTTATGTGCCCACATTGAAATGTTGTTCTTGCCAACCCTGTCAGACCATCTGTCCGTCAGTCATCCAATATTGCTTGTAGATACTCTGGAGGCTGATGTTATCATTTAATTGATTTTAGATTTGTACACAGTGTTTATGTTCCGGAGACAAAGAAGTCTATTAATTATCAACAATTTCCTATAATTACAAACAGAGTTATTGCCCTTGATTATGTTCACGGAATGAATAATCCTATTGATTTCAACAATTTGCAATAAGTAACACTGTCACAGTTATTGCCCTTGATTATGTTCATGAAACAACGAAGTCTGTTAATTTTCAGCAATTTGGGAGTTATGACCCTTGATCAATTTGAAAAATTTGTGTGTGTTCTAGAGACTGAAGTTACACTCGATCAACTTGAACTTTATGCGAAGTGTTAGAAGTTCATGAGATCAAGCAGCTGATTGATTTCAACGATAAGATTACTTACATTTTAAAGGGGCAGTCTGTTCAGAAAATGATTAATGATTACCCCTTCACTCAGAGTTTTAAAGTGTGCTATGTTTTGATCTCGAAATAATCAAATATTTTAAACTAGATTTGACATAAGGAGCGATTGAATGTTTAAACTTGATGTAGAGTTCAATGATTAACATTTCGAGCTAAAGCTAAGCAGAGTTAAACAATTTCTTTGGTTGATGCTTTGACTTTGGGACAAGATAACTTTGATTCTATCTGATAGAGAGTGATGAAACTTAGTGTATAGTTGATATTCAGTTTGATTGCTTGATACTTTTTAAAAAAATAATTTTGCAATTAATTAATAAGTGTCATCTATTTATTTTGGGATTTCGGCAGGGGGACATCAGCCTCACTGTTGGCTTGTTAATCAGCTGTTTTGCCATTTCTGCATGATTTCAAGTTTTTATACTCCAACATGTACTTTGAGTGTATACTCTATGGTCTTCGCCCCGTCAATTCGTCTGTCATTTATGATTGAGGTTAGAGTTTTTGACGGATGTTTTTATACGTCCACATTCATAATGTGAACGTATTATGCCGTCGCCCCTGTCTGTGTGTGTGTGTGTGTGTATGTATGTATGTGTGTGTGTGTGTGTGTGTGTGTGTGTGTCTGTGGTTCGCCTACAGGGCGCAATTCTTCATGGATTTTCTTCAAACTTGGTATACTTATTCCTTATACCCCAAGGAAGATCCCTATTGTTTTTGGTGCATGCCCGACCCCCCGGGGCAGAGCCACGCCCATTTCTAGTATTTGTTTGTTTGTCGTCTACAGGCCACATTTCTTAACTAATAATCTTGAAACTTTGCATACTTATTCTTTGTACCCTAAGGAACATCCCTATCGTTTTGGGTGCATGCCCAACCCCCAGGGGCAAAGCCACGCCCATTTTCTTTTTTATGTCTGTGTGTCGCCTACAGGCCACAATTCTTAATCAATCGTCTTGAAATTTTTTCATATGAATTGCTTATACCCTAACGATCATCCCTATTGTTTTTTTACCCCCAGGGGCAGAGCCACGCCCATTTTCTTTTCTTTTTATGTCTGTGTGTCACCTACAGGCCACAATTCTTAATCAATCGTCTTGAAAAAATTTCATATGAATTGCTTATACCCTAACGATGATCCCTATTGTTTTTGGTGCATGCCCGACCGCCAGGGGCAGAGCCACGCCCATCCCTTATATTTATTTATTTGTTTGTCATCTACAGATCGCATTTCTTATCGTATCACCTTGAAACCTAGCATACATATTCCTTCTATCCTAAGGAACATCCCTATTATTAGTGGTGAATACCCAACACCCAGGGGCAGAGCTACGCCCATTTTCTTTTTTTATGTCTGTGTGTCACTTGCAGACCGCATTTCTTAATCGATCATCTTGAAAACTTTTTTATACTTATTCCTTATAGCCTAAGGCTACTTTTTATACTTATTCCTTAATCCTAAGGCCGACCTCTATTATTATTTTTGGTGCATGCTCGACCCCTTGGGACAGAGCCACGCCTAACGTTTGTGTGTCCTGTGTTTTGCCTACAGACCGCAATTCTTAACAGATCCTTTTGAAACTTTGCATACCTATTCGAAACGTCATGCTTTTAGAATAAAGACATCGATTGTTTTAAAATAAAAATTGTGTTCTGTTAATGTGAACGAAGTGTTAAACTGATAGCAGTCCTACAACCCAGTTTTATTTCACAGACCCTCAATGCAAACTGGACCATATCAAACAAAACAGGAATGTGGACGTATATTGCTGCGTTAGCGATGCTCTTGTTCAAATTTGATGTGATGCATTTGGGTCATGAAAGGACAAACCTTATTGAAATTCAGCATTTGGGTCATGAAAGGACAAACCTTATTGAAATTCAGCATTCCGCTATCATCTGTTTATATGTGCGAAAAAGCTTGTAAACATGCAAGAGATTATCCTTTCAAAATAAGCTGCGGTCAAGATATAGCTGCTGTGCGGGCGTATTTCCAGACTTTGCAAAATTGTGTGGCTATCTGTTATTCTTGTATACACAATATTGTCGCATAAAAAGGGAGTGAAGTTTTCATCCAAGAATAATATGTAGTGTACCGCTAGATTAATTTTGTTCCCTAGTTTCGAAAGATGTTCTTGTCTCTTCTTTGGCAAGGACATGCTGTTTAGGAACTCTTGTTAAAGAAATCTTCTATTTATACTGGCTGATAGAGACATAGGCAAGCATATCTATACTCAGCCACAATGACAGTTTAGTAGGGGGAGCGAATACCGGAAAATTGTTATAATATAAAACCATGCTGAAAACCAGTAACCATGTCCGGAAGTTATTCCCTCCCACCCCACCCAATGCCACAGTACATGGTTTTGCTTAGTTTAATAGTTTACTTTATTAAAATAATTCATACTGGTATATATATATATATATATATATTGTAGATTTGTGATAACGTTTATGGTATAGCTATCCGAAGTAAAAGTTCTGAGTTTCAAAATGATGATCAGAACCTTAAAAAGAGGTTAAAAAGAAGTTTAATAACATCAATAATAACATCAACATTTAATAATTATTTACATATACTGTTATCTGTTGATAATGGTCAATTCCTACAAGTAAGTAATACTGTTATTTACAAATGATGGTCAGTTAGTACAAGTAAGTTACACTGTTTTCTACAAATGATGGTCAGTTAGTACAAGTAAGTTACACTGTTTTCTACAAATGATGGTCAGTTAGTACAAGTTAAGTTACACTGTTTTCTACAAATGATGGTCAGTTAGTAAAAATATGTTAATGCTGTGTGTTGAATTGTTTTCATTTGTATGATACATATTATCTGATACCACTTCTCACAAAAGCTAACATATATTTGTTGTACTTAATGGCACAGTAATTAATTTTTGTCGTAGAGAAATTAGATAGACTTATCAAAAATATGGTACATGTATATAAATCATTGATCCTTTTGTGTATATTTAACCGATGTTAAGGCATGTTGGGGCTTAAAATAACATTTATTTTACTTTGTTCTAGTTTTGGCAAAAGACCACACCTGGTTTACCATGGGAGGAGAAAAATGGAAAACTAGTTGGAATAAGTGGACTAAAGCCTGATACAGCATCAGATACAACCAGTGAATATGTCTATGCTCTAAACAGTAATAAGGTACAACAACAGAATTCTATTTTATCAGTGTTGTTGTAGCAGGGATCTTAATATGTCATGCGCTGTGTGAGTTCATATATCTGGGGTCCCCTACTAGTTTTGTCTGTCTTTTCTTTCCTGCTGATTTTGCTCCTTTGGTAGTGGTACATGGATTCCATGCTTGGCATTGAGTTGATAACACTTGTAACCATTGCTTCAAGAATAGGATAGAACATTGGCTGGAATATCAGGAATATGATAGAACATTGGAGGGAGTGTTTCAACTCTTTGTCTTTGTAATTCATTGATATACTTTCTCATTCATCTGTAGATATATACTCAAAGCCATTAAAAACACAATGCCTAATTCGTGAAATATTTCTGGTAAACGTTTTCTTGGGCTTTCCTATCTTACGGCACATAGGTGAAACTTGTGATGGGTCTCTTTTTGTTGAGTTCTGGGTTTGAACCCAATATCAGTTCTTGGTAATGAACTTTGTTTGTGCAAACACAACACTTGTCTTTTTTCACGATTTTAAGCAGTCCCATGTCACATGTTTTGCATGTACATTCCCTGCACTCTGGCCCTTTAAATACAGATCAAAATTTCAACATTCATCACTTCGGAAAAATGCCACGCCTTACACAAGAAAACAGGAACAGAGCTATTGGCATGCTGGATCAGGGGGTTTCACAGGTAGTCGTCGCCAGACACTTTAATGTCCACCCATCGGGTATCTGCACAACACACCATGGCGAAATGTCATCTTCTCGGATGAATCCCAATTCAACCTCAGTTTTCCTGATGGACGTCACCGTATCTACCGACGTCGACATGGACGCTTTGCTCGTAACTGCGTGCTAGAAAGGGATCGTTTCGGGGGGAGGTGGCATCATGGTTTGGGCCGCTATCAACATCAACTTCCGGTCCCAGTTGGTGGTGGTCCAAGGCAATCTCAACGCTCAACATTATGTTGACGCCATCCTTCGTCCGGTGTTGCTTCCATTGCTGGCTCAACATGGCATCCGTCGACAGATGGTTTTCCATCATGACAACGCCCGTCCCCACACAGCCAGGTTCACAAGAGACTTTCTGAACAATCATCATGTCCATGTTATGGATTGGCCCGTTATGTCTCCCGACATGAACCCGATCGAACACCTTTGGGATGAACTTGGACGACGGGTTCGAACTCAAGCCGTGCCACAACGAACTGTTGCAGAGTTGGCACAGACACTCCAAAATCATTGGCAAACAATCCCACAGCGTGTAGTGAGACATCTGTGCCAGTCTATGCTTTGTTTCATGGTTCTCGGACGTTTCGGTTTTGTGCATTTGTAGTGAATTCTTTCATGAAATTATCATCCAGGGTTTAGGGGACCTGCTTATGGTCCAACCTGCGACGGTGGGTTGTATGTTCAATCTAGTTGGGGGTGTACGATTGAACATACAATAATTCAATAACTCACTTCTCTTAGTATAATCTTATATTTTGTAACAATATTTAACAATGATAATATATATACATAATACTGACCCACAGGCTAAGTAACTTAATAAGGAACAGCATCTAAGAAATAACTTATCAGAGACCTGCCCTTCAGTATGTCCCTTGCCTGCCTGTGTGGTTCTACCTATGATCTACAATCTTTCCTCTAATATACTAGAGGTTACTTGGTAACAATAAACAATACATAGTAATTATATATATTTAAACTTAATAATATTTTATAGTTGTTAATGGGTAGTATTTAAGTGACATCCATTCATTCATTTACTAAGTTGCCTAATGTTTATAGATGGATTATCTCATTACTACTATTGTCTCTAATCTCTATCATAGCTGACCATTGATAACTTACTATAGATAATCCATCTTGGGAGCCAAGTTGTGGTGTAAGTCTAGCCCTGTATTGGGTGAATGGCTGTATTAAATACTACCTGGTCATATATGGACGCCCCCTATTTAAGTGTCGACCCGACACTCAGACGTTGTTTTTAAACTCTTCTCCCGACATCATTCTGGTAGGCCTATATTAAAGGAGCTAAGTCTGTAACTCAATATTTTTCATAATATTCGAATTCCCAAAGACGAATCAGAATTCAATACTGATCACTTTCAATCAATGTTGATGTTATGTTGCCGTGAAACTATAGGATCCTAATATCCAATATTTAAGACATAATTAACATTTTATAATAAGTACCTTATGATGTTGGGTGTCATTTTATAATGAACACAACAGAAACATATCCTACAACACAAAGTGGCAGTAGTTAGTAAAGGCTGATTCACAAATGGCAAAATAATAATTTAAACAAAATAGTGTAGAATGCATTAAGCAGGCATACACGATTAACATTCAAATTGAACTTCATATATTTCAGATTCCCAAAAATGAGCCATCTGCCTTTAAAAAAATGTACCATGCTTCATAAATGCATATAATTACTATCTCTATTCGGTTCAGCCCTACCCTGATCTTGTTTTGCATGTCAGACAAGGATTATTCTTCCAATTTCTGCTGCTATTTGATCATTAGTCACTTGCTATGCACTATTAAAATCTGCCTTGAAAGTATAGAATGACACTTTATGATTATATACATGGTATTATAATATAGTAAAGTATGAACACTAATACTGTGAACACATATACAATCAAAAAAAAATATGAATATTCATCATTGAACACCAGTAAAATAGGTGTGATGTATATTACCACAATAGTCTCACTATCAGACAAATATAGCCCTCTCATAATTTTGGATTCATGCTCTCATCTAATGTATCTTCTGAACACTCTTTTGGTTTTGCTAGTTAGATTCCTACTCTTGTGTATTTTTAGAAGTGAAAGGACTTGCCCATAGGTAGTTTGTTTGAAGGAATAAGATCAATGTTGTTTTACAAAAAATAATTTTGTTATAGTACTTATATAACACTGATCGTCACCAATGATATATACGCATTTCTGTATGTTGAATCATTTGGTTAGCTAGGCCATTTGACTCTATATACCTCTATGTAAGCCAATATATGATATGTGTTAAAATAAAAATAACAAAAAAAACTCAGATCTCTTTCCTTATTGCAGATTTTAATCGCCTTTTACGATTCATAATTTAGCTTGCAGATGACGAATTCTTGGCACCACATCATCAGGGGTAACTTGAAGTTTGAGGGGGGGGGGGGGAATGGGGAAGAGATTAATTATTTCTTGTTTTCTTTGCCATTTTCTTTACCAGTCCTTTTTGGGTTTTTGTGGCATGAAAATTTCGTACAAGATCTTGAGGCAAAAGATCCTGAACTATCCATTGGGGTCCTTTTACTTCCCTAAGTCGTGTTTTATACCAAAATTGCCCTCTGTATTTTCTTGACTGCAGTATCTTGTCAATATGTTTGTCTTCAAATTTTGTTTGTTGAATTTGTACATTTTGTGTTTCGTCATTATTAGTATTGTTGTTAGGTGTTACTGTTATCATTATTTGCATTTGGGTGCGGTTGTGCATCAGCAGTTTGTGACAGATTTTGATTGATCTCCTCTGAATTCAGGTCCGTTTGCTGGTCTTCTGGGATCTCAGGCAAATTGGTAGGGCGCTTTGCAGGATCAATGTAAGGCCTTAATCTGTCTGCATGAATGGGTGACTTGACGAGCTGGTGATTAGCGTTCCTTCTTAATTTATAGGTGTTGTTTTCAAAGTCATGACAGATATAATATGGTCCTACCCATTTACGTTGAAGTTTCCTACAAAATCCTACCTGTACTTTAGTACAGTATAACCAAACCATTTGGTCCTTTTTAAAATTTGGTGGTGCCGCTTTTTTGTTGTGTTGCTTACTATACTTTTCTTGAGCCCTTTGAATGTTTTTATTTGCAATATCGTTCGCAGTTTTTAGATTTGTTTGCATCTGCTCAAAATATTGTTTTGCGTCTCTTTTAAGGATGTCTGGTTGTAGTAGTTCAACATCAATTGGGAGTGTGGGCTCGCGACCGAATAACATGTGGAAGGGACTCATATTGGTAGATTCTGTAGCTGGTGTAGCTCTGTAAGCCATAAGGACTCCTGGAAGAATATCTGGCCAATTTGATTGATCTGGTCTGCAATAAGATTGGATTGCTGTCAGTATTGTTGAGTTCATCCTTTCACATGCTGCATTCGTTTGTGGGTGGTAACTTGATGTATTAAGTTTCTTAACCCCCAGAAGTTTACATATTTCGTTGATCAATTTGCTCATAAAATTCTGCCCTCTGTCTGTTAGAATTTCCTTTGGTGTCCCATAGCGGCATATTATTTCTGCAAAAAGTATTCTTGCAATCACTAAGGCCTCTGTTGACTTCAAGGGAAATGCTTCGTCCCATTTTGAATAGGGACATACAATCAATAGAATTGAATGATATCCTTCTTTTGTTGTCTTTAGTGGGCCCAAGATATCCATATGGATTCTGCTAAATGTGGAGCCAATGGGTAGTGGACGAAGTGTGGCTGTTTTTTTATGGTAGTACGGTTTTGACGTTTGACAGGTTTCGCATGACCGGACATATTTTTCTATATCTGAATTACAACTTCCTTGCCATCTTCATCATGTTGTCCTAATATATATCCAATGGCATTGGAGCTTGCATCTGCATGCAACAAGAACTTCTTTTCAAAACTTGGGTATCGAAGTATTGGTGGTGACATTAAAGCCCTCTTTAACATTTTGAATGCCTCATCTATTTCGGGTGTCCATTGAAATGCCACATCTTTCCGTAGCAATTGGTTGAGTGGCGCTGCTTTCTGTGCAAAGTTTTTAATAAACCGTCTGTAGTAGCTGCACAGTCCTATAAATGCTCTGACTTCACTGACGTTCTTTGGTCGAGGAAATGTCTGTACTGCTTCGGTCTTTGTTTTGTCCACAGCAATACCAGTTTTTGAGATGATGTGACCTAAGTATAACCCCTTTTGACACTTGGAAGGTTTTAACTTAAGGTTTGCATCTCGAATCCTGCTAAAAATTATAGTTAGATGGTTCAAATGTT